ACATATAGCTCCATCCATCCATCTACCCATCCAGCAGCGTAAATCGGCAAGTGGGGCCCAGGCCGCGTCCGTGGGGATAGGGGTCGGATCAATGATGGTCATGCCCATGACCCTCGGCGTCATACCTTTTTCATGACGTGGCCCCCCGAAGGTCTAGACCTCAGTGAGCGGGCCCTGGAAGCGACAGAGCCGTTTTGTTACCAGTTCAGTGTAGCCTATTTTCGGCTGTCAGTTCGGGTGCCGCTCTTTCCCCGGCTCCGTCGCCGTGTGTTTCCTGCTTCTGGCTCCAATCCTGGAGCCGTTTTGCCCCCGTTCCCAAAGCGGTTGTTAAGCGCTTGCAATTTCCTGATTGTTGTGCATTTGTTTATATAGACTGGTAACACAACATCCTTTGCCGTTTCTGAGGAGGTCTGGACCCCTTCCCGGGGACCGGATGCTTCTCCTCCGTCGTGCTTTGGCGGCCTCGAGGCCCAGCCAGGGCCCCTGGAGGCCGACAGCATAGCGGAAGACAATCCGCCGTGCTCCTCTTCCTCGGCGCGAAAGAGGTCTGCTGGCCCTCCGAGCGGCCCTCCGAGCGGCCCAGGCCCTCCGCGCGGCGGCCTTGGCCGCGGAGGGGTGCGCGGCGGCGGCGGGCCGCCGCGGAGGGCCCGGGCGGGGGGCCGCCGCGGAGGGCCGCGGAGAGCCCGCGCAGAGGGCCCCCGCGGAGGGCCCGCCGCGGAGGGCCCCCCTCGGAGGGCCGCCGCGGAGGGCCCGCCGCGGAGGGCCTGTTCGGAGGGCCGCTGCGGAGGGCCTCTCGGCGGAGGGGCGGCTCCGGTAGCAAATCACCTCGGAGGGCACCAACTATACACCTACACCGATCCTGGCCAGGCCGATCCTAGGCCCAGGATCGGTGTATATGCCTTCTTGCCCAAGGCAGGAGGGCGTATACACCGATCCTGGGCCCAGGGTGATCCTGGCCAGGATCGGTGCTGGTGTATAGTTGGTGCCTTCCTATCACCAAGGTTTGAGTAGATGCCCTCGCAATGCCTTCTTTAGCGTCGACTGGCGTCGATCAGCGCCTGGGAGTCGACGAGACAGCGCCGACTAGCGTCGACTCGCGTCGATTAGCGTCGATTCGCAAGAGCCGACAAGATGGTATGGGAGCCTTCCATGAGCTGCCACCGAAGGTGGCGCCTCCGGCGCCGCCCCTGGCGCGCGGAGCGCGCAAGTGTGGGGGATCCAGCGCCGATTCGAGGAATCCGCGCGGACTTCCGAGTTTGTCTGCATGTTTGTATGATGAGTTCGTTCCCCTCTCCGCGCCCAGACGTCCGGGCGCCTGGAACAGCCTCTAGACGGCATTATTGCTGATGGTTCTTTCGTTTCTGGTTTTCGGCCTCTCGGAGCCCTTCCAGGGCCTCGGGGCCGTCCACAGAACGACTCGGGACGGAAAGCTGGTCCTGGGGAAGTGGTCGAGAGGTCGGTGGCCCGTGCCTCGAAGAAAGCGGGACGCCCGATGTCTGGCCGCTGCGGAGGGCGTGCGGCAGGCGGCGGAGGGTGGCCGAGCCGCGTAGAGCTAGGGTTTGGGGCGGACCCCTGGGGTCCCGAGATCCTGGCTCACGTAGCCTCTTGTTCGAGTCGGGCGTTTTCACATGTTTTCGCTTGGTGGCAAGTCATGGGAGCTTTGTTCGTCCTCAAAACTCCACCTCCAGAGAGCACTCGCGCGCGCCAGCGCCTGCCAGTCGAGGAGAGAGCGACGATTTGGCGTCGATTAGCGACGACTAGCGTCGGATGGCGTCGAGTCGCAGGAGCCGAGAAGATGACACGGGAGGCTCCCTTGTGTTGCCACCGAATTTTCGGAAGTTTCTTCCTCCTTCTCCTCGTCCTCCTTTCTGCGTTGGGCAGACGTTGGCTCGCTTGAGTCGTTGCTCCTCCTCCTCTTCTTCCTCCTCCTCCTCCTTCCGTAGCCATTTGGGCTCAAGTGCCATGCCTGCGCGCGCACAGCCCGGGGACCCGAGCGGCGACTCTGCAGGCGCGGAGGCCATGGAATGTTCATGAAGCTCCTGTTCTGGTCGACGATCCTCTACACTGCAAGCGCGGTGATGCTCACGGCCAGTGGAGGTGCTCCATAGACGTCCCCAGCTGCAAGCGCGGCGACTCCCTTAGCAACGTTCGCAACTCGTACGACTTCGACTCGTACCCCGAACCCTCTTCGACCCCACGGACGCCGTTCCCTCACTGTAGTTGACGCCCGCCAACGACGAGCTGTGGAAAAGGGACTTCTGCGTCCACGTGCTGGTCCTGAGCTGGTTCGGATCTCTGTTCCAACAGCCGTCTCGCGCGAGGCAAAGGTTCTGGCTTGCGCGACGGACAACGTGCACAAACTTGAACTCAAGACTGACCTCCACAGGCGCAACGGCTCCGAGTTCTGCGCGGTGGCGTCTGCCCATGGACTCCTCACCCCACAGGAGGAGCTAGACTTCAAGTACTGGAATACGCCTTGCAACATCGCTCGCCACAAACGCTGGTCGGCAACGTCGAGGAGCCATCCATTTCCGCCGCCCGAAAGCGCGTCGCCTGGGCGGACACCTACGACACGGACTTCCTTGCGAAGGCTCCCGCTGCCGCCGCTGACACCATCGGCAAGAACATGCCTGCGGCCAACAGCTTCGAGCCCATCGTCGACCCCATAGAGTTGGGTACCGGTTCCAGGTTGTCTGGGTCCTCCTGCCATTGTGTCTCTAACCCAGCGCTCCCCAGCGAGGCGACCTTCGATAGTTTCCTCCACACATTCGGGAAGCGGACCCTCTCTAAGCTGGACGAAAAGTTTCTCGCGGGTTTCGAACTTCTGTCGGCCTCCAACGCCAAGCATCTGCCCACCCCGTTCGCTACCTCGGTCAAGCCCGTCATGGACTCCCTCCAGAGTCAGGTCGCCAAAGAGATCATCGACATCCGCTCCGGGCTCGGCGCCGCGTACGACTCGCACATCCTGACCCTCGGCATCCGCGAGATTGCAGATGAAAGTCGCGCAGCTGCAGCTGATGCACGGCGCGCGGCAGATGAAGCTCACGGTCGCCTTCATGCCACTCGTCGAGCAGGTGGCGAAGCTCGCCGAGTGGTAGATTTTGTTCTCACTGCTGCGGCTGCCGTTTGCCAATCGGTAGCAGAAACTCGCACTCATCCAACTGAAGACGCAAGTCACCCAGCTGGGGCTGCTCGTCAACAACCTGTATAAAGAGCTCCTGGACACAGTCGACCAGATTCTGAAGCTCATCGAAGTGGACACCAAAGAGATGCAGCAGCATATCGACTCCATCGAGCAGCACGTCCAGTTCTTACAAGGCCACGAGCAGTACCCTGACAACCGCGATGGCTCTCCCAATGTCGACAACTACTTCGACACCTTGCTGACGCACGTCAAGCGCGATGACTGTCGCAACGGCGTCACGAAGATCCTGAACTCGCTGCCCGAGCCGCATTCTGGTGGCTGGCACTCTAGCGACTGCCAGCCGCCTGCATCGGGTATCCAAGGCACTGCCGTCGCCGACTCGCCCAAGCCGCTGACGCAGTCCGAGACGACCGCGCTGCCCATGCCGTTCAAGACCCTCACCACGCCGCTTCCGACCGCGTCCGCCGAGCTGAACTTCGACGAGGCCGCCGATGCGGAGGCGACACAGTCCGAGACCGACGAGCTGCTCACCCCGAGCGGGACCTACGAGCTGCAGCAGCAGATCGCGTACGAGCTGGAACTCGACGAGATCGAGTTCAACTCAGAGCTCGAGCGCGTCGAGCCGAAGAATGTATGTTACGACGCCTCTGGCTTTTTGGACATCTACTTCGGCAGCCTTCTCGCGCACATCCAGAAAGTCGACTGCTGCGACGACTGCACGAAGGTTCTGGACTCCATCGACCTGCGCATGCCGCAGCCTGGGCTGAAGGCGGCGCAGTCTGAGTTCTACGAGCTGCCCATCACGAGCGAGACCAACTAGCTGCAGCAACAGACCGCTTACGAGCTGGCGCCCGACGAGCTGGAACCCGACGGGTTGCAGCAGCCGCCTGCGTACGACGAGCTGGACGAGTTTGACGAGCGCGCTCTGCAGTCTGAGTTCGGCCAGCTGTTCTCACCGAGCGAGATCGACGAGTTCAACCGGCATTTCGAGAGTGACGAGTTCCTGCGTTTCCTCACTTCTTCGTTGCGGCCTGCGCCGTCTCCTTCACAATGTACTACATCCTTATCAACATCCGCTGAGGGCTAGACACGCGGCGACTGACAGGAGCGGGATCACTTGCCCTCTTCTCGCGTCTTGTCCGCTTGCCCTCGTCTCGTCCCACTCTGTGTACGTGCACTCCTCCTCCTCCTCCTCCTCTTCCTCCTCCTCTTCCTCCTCTCCCCCCTTCAAGAAGCGGATCTATGCTCCAATAGGTGTCTGATCTGATATGATCCTCCTCCGCCTCCGCCTCCGCCTCCTCCTCCTCCTCCTCCTCCTCCTCCTCCTCCTCCTCCTCCTCCCCCTCCTCCTCCTCTAGGGTGCCCCCCATCGTTCCAGGTCGAATCCGTGACGATGCAATCCCCCCCATCAGGAGGGAGCACCTGCCACGTCGACGACGGCGGGTCGCTGCTGCAGGCGGCGGCGGACCTGGGCTCCACCGCGCCGGAGGCCGGTGGCGGAGAGGGGCACGACTGGTTCGACGGGGGAGCGCCGCTCCCTCCTGCCTCCTTCTCTCTCCTCTTCGATCGGTCCTGCTTGTAATTCCTCCCTGTCGCATCCCGAGGCCACTCGAACGGGCGGGCCAGGGCCGGAGACGTCCTCACCATTCATCGCCGTGCAGCTTGAAACTTGCAACAGCTTCGTGGATGGAGGGCGAGTGGTTTTCAAGATGGGGTTCTCGCCTCAACGCCGCGCACATTCGGTACACAAAAGAAGCAAGAGCTTCACGGATGGAGGGCGGTTGATTTTTCAATATGTGGTTCTTGCCGTAGCGCCGCGCACATTCGTTTAAATTTCTACAGCAGTTTCCATGATTCTCATGGGTGCCGTCCCAGAAATCGCGTTTGGGCACGATGTCGCGATGCCAGGGCGTAACAGTTACTTTGTTTCACAGTGTTGAGGTCCCAGGAGTGGCTTTCTGGTACGATTCGGGACCGTCAGTACGCAGCAGTAGTTAGCGGTGATTCGCGGCATTGAAGTCACAGGACTGTTATTCTGGCGCAGTTCACGATTCTCAAACCGTTGTCTTCCAACGGGGCAGCTCCCTCAGCGAACGTGAATCCTTACAGGGGCCCATGAAGAGGGAACTTTGAGGGAGGCTTTGCACGGGTCTCTCCTCCTCCTCCTCCTCCTCCTCCTCCTCCTCCTCCTATTTCTTTTCCTGCTCCTCATGCTCTTCCTCCTCCTCCTCCTCCCCCTCCTCCTCCTCCTCGTCCCTCCATCTCCTCGGGTCTCCTCATCCTCCTTGCTCATCTCTCCTGTCTCGTCTCTCCTCTTTCTTCTCCTCTCCTCTCCTCTCCTCTCCTCTCCTCTCCTCTCCTCTCCCTTCCTCTCTTGGGTCTCTTTCGATGGTCGCGGCAGAGGGAGGCCTACATCACGGAACATATGGCCTCAAGAGCAATGTGTGCCACGAGCGGCCACAGAAACAGAGAGATAGAGAGAACATTCTGAGGCGGAGAGGAAAAGTTGCACACGTCTATCGGTTCCCCCTTTGACTGTTTCAGTTCCAGGGCCCTCTGAGACTATCACCCCCTTTTCAAGGGCTCCCTCGAGGGCGCGAAGTTATTCGCGCTTCGCGCTTCGCGGTCCTCGTTCCTTCTCCCCCTCCTCCTCGTCCTCCTATTCTCCCTTTAGGAGGGCGGCGCGAGAGCGCGAAGTTATTCGCGCTTCGCGCTTCGCGCAGCGCGAAGCGCGAAGTTGGGAGCCCTAGTTTTGTTCAATCAGCCCTTTCTTTGCTGAGAGGCTTCCCTTCGGCCTCTCAGCGGGCTTCGTCTCGACGTCAAGCCGATTGCCCGCATGGCCCACGAACAATTTGGGCCACGAACGGCCACAAAGAGAGGTCATTCTGCAGCGGAGGGGCGCGGACATTTTGCACACGTCCATTGGTTCTCGCATTGTTCGTCTGAGGGTGCTATTACAAAGAACCCGCGCCGATTTCTGGCCCCTGGGTCTGAGAGCCAGGGAGTGGTGCGCCCTGGGGGTTTCACCTCGGACTCAGGCGCGCGTGTCCCTCTCGTCCTTCCTCTCTGGTCCCTCCTTTCTCGTTCCCCCCCTCTCGTCCCTCCCTTGCTCGTCCCTCCCTTGCTCGTCCTTCCCTTCCTCGTCCCTCCTTGAACGCCCCTCCTTTCTCTTCCCCCCTGTCCTCTCCCTCCTTTGGGGCTCTGGGTGTTTCACCGCGGACTCCTGCGCGCGCTTCCTCCCCGCCCTCCTTTCTCGTCCCCCTCCGTCTGGGCTCTGGTGCTCATCGGTGCTGCACCCTCCTCGTCAGTGCCCCATCTGGGCTTTGATGCTCATCGGTGCTCTGGCGCTGTCGATGTCGTGCACCTTGCTTCCGTGGATAGCCGATCCGATCCGATCCGAACCCCTCCGCCAGCAGCACCCGCCGGCCCCGTGCGCGGGCGTGCGGCGTCGGGCCCCCCCCGCGGCACCCGCCCGACGGCAGTGTGCTGCAGGCGAGGACCCTAAGTCGGAGGACCGCGCTATCCGGTTCCTCCTCCTCCTCCTCGCTCCTCCTCCTCCTCCCCCGCTTCCTCCTCATCCTTCTCCTCCTCCTTCTCCTCCTCGCTCCTCCCTCCTCGCTCCTCCCTCCTCGCTCCTCCTCCTCCTCCTCCTCCTCCTCCTCCTCCTCCTTCTGGTCCTGCTCCTGCTCCTCCTCCTCCTACCTTTTCTTCCCTGTTCCTCCTCGCTCCTCCTCCTCCTCCTCCTCCTCCTCCTCCTCGCTCGTCCCTCCTCGCTCCTCTCTTCTCGCTCCTCCTCCTCATCGTCGTCCTCCTCCTCCTCCTCGCCCCTCCTCCTCCCCTCCTCCTCCTCCTCCTCCTCCTCCTCCTCCTCGATCCCCCTCTTCATCCTCCTCCTTCTCCTCGTCCTCGTCCTCCACCCTCCTCCTCTCTCCTCCTCCTACCCTCCTCCTTCTCGCTCCTCTCCTCCTCCTCCTCCTCCTCCTTCCGTCCTCCTCCTTCTCCTCTTCCTCTATCTCCTCCTTCTCGCTCCTCCTCCCTCCTCCTCCTCCTCCTCCTCCTCTTCCTCCTCCTCTTCCTCCTTATCATTATCCTCCTCCTCCTCGCCCCTTCTCATCCTTGCTGTTCCTCCTCCTCCTCCTCCTCCTCCTCCTCCTTTCCTCCTCTTCCTCCTCATCCATCTCCTCCTCCTCGCTCCTCCTCCTCCTCCTCCTTCTCCTCCTCGTGTTCCTCCGCGCTCCTCCTTTTTCTCCTCATCCATCTCCTCCTGCTCCTCCTCCTCCTCCTCCTCCTCCTCCTCCTCCTCCTCGCTCCTCGCTCCTCCATCCTCGCTCCTCGTTCCTCGCTCCTCCTCCTCCTCCTCCTCCTCCTCCTCCTGCTCTTGCCCCTCATGCTCCTCCTCATCCTCTTAATTACCTTTTTCTCCCCCTCCCTCTCCCTCCTCCTCCTCGCTCCTCCTCCTCCTACCTCGCTCCTGCTCCCTCCTCCTCCTCCTCCTCCTCCTCCTCCTCCTCCTCCTCCTCCTCCTCCTCCTCATCATCATCATCATCATCATCATCATCAGCATCATCATCATCATCATCATCATCATCATCATCCTCGTCCTTCTCCTCGATCCTCCTCTTCCTCGCTCTTCCTCCTCCTCCTCCTCATCCTTCTCCTGCTCCTTCTCCTCGCTTCTTCCTCCGTCTCCTACCTCCTCGCTCCTCCTCCTCCTCCTCCTCCTCCTCCTCCCCCTCCCCCTCCTCCTCCTTCTGCTCCTGCTCCTCCTCCTCCGTCTTCCTCCTCCTCCTCCTCCTGCTCCTCCTCCTCCTCCTCCCTCTTCCTCCGTTTCCTTGTCCTCCCCAGGGGAACAAGAAAATGCCTGTCGCTCCCGTCTTTCTCCCCCACGTTCCGGCCGCTCGCCAGCGCCTTCTCCTCCATCTCCTCCACTCGTGGACGGGACTCATCCATATATCGCACTATAGGCACTCACCCCCCAGCACTCAAGCAGGCAGATGCACATTGTACATCCACACAGATTTACTTGTGTATGTATATATATATATATGAATGAACATGTGTGTGTGTGTGTTTACATATGTGTATAGATATGTAGCGCTGGGCCTCCTTGACCAGCACATGAACTACCCCCCGGGATGCTGGGGAGTGGTTTTCAAAGTTGTGGATATGGAACATCCCTGGCCGCCATCTCAGAGAACATGTTTCGAACGTCGCTTTCCCTTCCAAGCCGTGCTGAGTCATTATCAACCAAAAGCCACCCCTCGTTCGCTGCACTGGGCGGCCTCGTTTCTGCGATAGCGACAAGGGCGGCGACCACGGCGACGGCGGCAGCGGCGGCGGCAGCAGCGGCGACAACGGCGGCGGCGGCATCGGCGGCACAGCGACGACAGGCGACGGCGGCCGCGGCAGCGGCAGTTGCGACAGCGGCGGCGGCGGCCACGCTGACGGCGGCGGCAGCGGCCACGGCGCACGCTGTCGCAGGCCCGCGAGCTCGCTGGCGCCAGCGAGGCCGCTCCCGCGCCAGCCGCTGGCAGGGGGGGCACCTTGTGCTCGCTGGCGCCGAAGGGCGAGCTGGCGCCTGAAGTGGCGGCGTTCCTGCGTGTGACTGCTGGCGGCCCAGGAGGGCCCAGGCACCGGGCGGCTCGATTCGAGGCTCGACGTTCGAGGTCGTTCTGGGCTCTGTTCGGCGCACGTCTCCCGGGGCCTTTCCTCACCGCCACCTGCCGCATCCGCCTCGAAGTTCTGGCCAGACCGCACCCTTAGGCGTCGGGAGGCAGATTCTCGACCCGCCCCTTGGGGGTTCAGTTTGGGCCTCCTTAACCTGCGGGGGGCTCCTCGTGGCCACGGCTGGCCCCCGCCTCCAGACACGCCCGGCTCGGGACGCACCCTTGGCAGGCCCAGGGTCGGATGCTTGACGCGCCCAGGATCGCGATCGGGATCGGCCCAGTCATGCCAGCTCGCGCCACGTCGGCGCGGCGGCGCCGCTGGCGCGGGCGCCTTCCAGGTCGAAGGCCGCCGCCGGCCTGAGTCAGGCCAACCTGAAACGTCCGCCACCCGTCGGAGAGCGGAGATCCCTCAAGGCGGAATGCTCTGCGCGGTGCCAGGAGCCAGCGCCCACGTGGGTCCGACAGGAGCCGGGCTTTTTGTTGCCGTCCCAGGGGCCCCACTGAGCGGGGGCAAGTGCTACGTGATTGCTCTTCCTGCTCCTCATCCACCTTCTCCCCCTCCTCCTTCCCTCCCTCCTTCCCTCCCTCCGTCCATCTCTCCCTCCCCTCCTCCCGATCCACATCCTCCTCATCATCCTCCCCCTTCTCCTCCTCGTTCTCCTCCTCCCCCTCTCCTCCCCCTCCTTTCCCCCGCTTGCTGGACCCCCTGAGGCAGCACACTCAAGGGCCCTGTCCTCCAGGGCGTCGGGGACGGGCCCTTGCGGCGCGTGTCCGACTCCGCGCACGGGGGTCGGCGGCAAAGCCGTTCTGATATGGGGAGGGCCAGGAACCACGGGGGCCCGCATCGTGCCGAGAGAATTTCAGAGGAGGCCCCTCCTCCTGCTCCTGCTCCTCGCTCCTCCTCCTCGCTCCTCCTCCTCCTCCTCCTCCTCCTCCTCCTCCTTCCTCCCTCCCACCCTCCTCCTCCTCCTCCTCCTCCTCCGTGGCCTTCGGGGGGCCTTCTCGTCGCCACGGCTGGACGCAGTTTGGGAAACTGGTGCGTTTGGACCCTGGAGCGTTTTGAGCTGCGCTTGCTCTGCTCTGATCGCCACACTGGAGGTAGGTATGGGGCTGGCCGTGCCCCAGCGTATGGGTCGCGGTCGGTGCGCCCGAGGCCAACAGCACGCAGCTCGAGCGGCTGCTGTCCCAGGACCGCTGGCGGGAAGTGCCACCAAGGGCACGTGGGCCTCTCTGCGGGGGGGGTACGCACGGGCGCGGCACTCGGCACCCTGCGGCGTCCCTCCTTGGATCAGAGTCGGTTGCGCCCCTCGGCGCTCTGGCACCCGCGCCGGCCGTGCTTTCCAGCCCAGAGTTGTGCCGTTTGCCTCAGCGCCTGCCAAGGTCCCAGCAGCAGCAGCATCAGCAGCAGCAGCCATTGCAGCAGCAGCAGCAGCAGCAGCAGCAGCAGCGGCGGTGTCAGCAGCGGCACGAGCAGCAGTGCCGGAGACGTGTGGTCTTTGGCCAGTTTGGGAGGGCTGTAGGTGTTGAGCGGGCGTCTGGTGGCCGCGCAGGCCCTAGGACGTCTTGGATCCATCTACTGCAGGCCCCCCGAGTAGTCCGGGACTGTCTCTCAGGCGTGGCGAAGCGTCCTGGCTTGCCGATTGGCCCACCGAAGAGTGTTATGATAATCTGTTGTGGTCTCCACGAAATATTGACATAACGTTTCTGGCTGAGAACGTCTTGTTCGAACACATCGGCATTATGCTCTGAAACATTTTTGGCTGTTCGAACATTATTTTGCTCTAGGCCAGTTCGTTGTGAGCGTTTCGGAATGCAAGAACGGTCGGTCCCTGCTCAAGGCCTCTACGGGTGCCGCCAGAGGCGGCACCAGGGTGTTGAGGCCAGAAGGTATACCCATTCTTGACGCTTCGCGCATCCCCACCAGCTGTTTGGTCCCCACCACCACGCGGTTGTCGCTTGTCACGACCACGACTGGGGACGTACGGCGCGCCATTTTGGCCGCGTCTGCCTTGCTTCCTGGGTGACTGACCCCTCAGACTCCCTGGGTTGCAGCTTGCACGACCGCCTGGCCTCTCAGACGCCCTGGGTTGCTGCTTGCCCCGCCGCCTGATCCGCGGCCCCCGCGCGCGCCCGGGAATTCGTCACGGCCGCAGCCCGACCGTGACTGCTCGCCGCCGGCGCTTCCGCCTGCGGCTGTAAAAAAAAGCATCCCCACCAGCTCACCCATAAAGGACGGCCAGGCGAGTTGCCTCGACCCGGGAAGTTTATGAGCAAGCTGTGGGGCAAGGAGAAGGGGCAGCGGTCAAACCAAAGATCGGGATCAACCTGAGCAGGCCCAGCAGTCAACCGTAAGTGCATCCGCGGATATTTCCCTACTGGCGTTTCGCCAGGGGGATGCAACGGGGGTCAGAACCTCTTTTTACCAGAATCTGCTCAGGAGGGGCCGGGGGGAGGCCTCTCACCAGCTTGGCCGCGCGGCCCGGAATTTGGCGGCCGCGCTGCGTTGTGGTTCCATTGGGTCCAGACATCCGACGCCCCAGACATCCGACGCTCACTTTAGCCCGGAATATACCGGAAGCGCTCCTTATGGTGTCTTTGCTCGATTTGGTCTTCTGAAGTTCGACTCACTATCATGTTTTCGCGGCCGGAATCTGCCAGCAGCGCTCAGTATGATGCTCTGCAGGAGTGCGACTCAAGTATGATGTTTTGGTGCTGTTGCTTCCCAAGCAACGTTTCGGCACGGGGAGTTGAATAGGTCAAAAGAATTAATTGTTTTACCAAGATCTCCACGAGGGGGTGCCGGGGGGGGGCATCTCAACGGCCCGGCGGGCTGCCTGTGCCGTGCGTTTTACGCGTGTTCTTATTGAGTGGCCCTCTACTGCGTCTCGAATCTCCTGTTCCTTCACCAGAATCTCCACAAGGGGGAGGCCTGGGGGGAACGTCTCGCTGGCCGAGCGGGCTGCCCGTACCGTGTGTGTTTTGCATTATCTTATAGTTTGAGCCTCTCCTGGGGCTCGAATGCTATATTTGTTTTTTACGTGTGCTCCCACGTACTGCCCCTGTCCTGGGCCTCGAAACCTATGTGTTCTACATTTGTTTGATTGCCCCTCTCCCAGGGCTCGAGTCACATGTGTTCCGATAGATGTTCCTACATATTGCCCATCTCCTTTGGTTCCTTTTCGCGGGGCGCGAGTCATATGCGTTTTTCGTATATGCCTACGGATTGATTTTTTCCTGTCGCTCGAGTCCTGTGTGTTTTACGCACGTGCCTACGGATTATCCTTTCCAATGGTTCGAATATCATTTGTTTTCCATATGTGCCTATATATTATATTGCCCTTCTCTTGTGGTTCGAATCTTATGTGGCTCCCCAGGCCTCCACGGGCCTTGGCTCGGAACTTTGAAAGTTTAGGTGTTTCATGCGTCGGTTCGTTAAGTGTTTCCCCTCTGGGCGGTCCTCCCCGGGGGCCTCCCGAGCCCCCTCTGGGCCCCAGGACGGAGCGTCGGAAGTTGATTTGTATCCCGTGTCGATTCGTTGATTTTGATGCCTCTGGACGCCTCCCGGCCCCCCCGAGGCCTCACACCTCTTTTTCTTGTGGCGATTTTTTTTCGTGATGTGTGTGTGTGTGTGTGTTACGTAGGTGCCTTTAGATTGGCCCTTTCCTTGGGCTCGATCCTCATGTGTGTTTACTTATGTGCCTACATATTCCCTCTCCCGTGGCTCAAATCTCGTGTGTGGTTACGTATGTGCCTATGCATTGCCCCCTCCTGTGGCCCGAATACCATGTGTCTTCCGATGTGGCTGTATGTACACGCCTCTACATCTACGCAGCACCATGCAGATGCGGATGCGAGTGAGGGGGCAGTGGGGATATCGGCAGTCTGCGAGACTCTGGCGCAGCCCGCCGCAGGCGCCAAGGTTTCACAAACTATACAACGAGCCCGCCGCGGGCGCCGATTTTTTCGTTCAACCAGTGTGGGTAGGTCGCGGGTGGGTCGCAAATGGGTCGCAAATGGGTCGCGGGTGGGACGCGGGTGGGTCGCGGGGTGGGTCGCGGGTGGGTCGAAGGATGGGTCGCGGGTGGGTCGCAAGTGGGCCGCGGGTGGGTTGCGGGTGGGTCACGGACGTGTCGCGGCTTGGGTCGTGGGTGGGTCGCGGCTTGGATCGCGGGTGGGTCGCTGGGTGGGTCGCGGGTGGGTCGGGGTTGGGTCGCAGGATGGGTCGCGGGTTGGTCGCGGGTGGGTCGCGAGGTGGGTCGCGGGGTGGGTCGCGAAGTGGGTCGCGGGGTGTGTCGCGGGGTGGGTCGCGGGGTGGGTCGCGGGTGGGACGACGACAACAAACAACAACAATAACAACAGCAACAACAACAGCAACAACAACAACAACGCAACAAGCATAATCCTCACCACGGATTCCTATTTCAGCCACGTCTTAGGGACAATGAATGACCGTTCGGCCCCCTCACTCTGAGGTGTGTATATATACGTATATGGCTAGATGTATGTGCATATATTTGTATACTTAAAGATTGCGCCTCTCCTGTGGATCGGCTCCTAGGTGGCTCCCCAGGCCTCTTTGGGTCCGTGGACGGAACGTCGGAAGTGGATCTGTTTCCTGTGTCGATGCGTTGACTGCTTGACCGTTGGGCGGCCCTCCCCCGGGCCTCCAGAGCCCACCCCCGGCCCCGGGACGGTACGTCGAAGGGTTATCATCAGTGTATGTGGTGTCGATTTGTCGACTTGTACGCCTCTGGGCGCCCCATTGGCCTCCCGAGGCCTCGCACTCCCTTCTCCTGCTTCAATGTACTCCCTCTCTTCGAGCCTCGGGAGGCCTCGCACTCGCCTCCCGAGGCTCGAACTTTTCAATGTGCTTCACGTGTGCTCCTTCAAAGTGGCCCGTACCCTGGGTCTCGAACCCAGAGCATTTTACACATGTGCCTGCGCATTGCCTGTCTCATGTGGCTCGAAGCTCAGGAGTTTTACAGATGTGCCTACGGACTGCCCCCTGCTGTGGCTCGAAACTTGTGGGTTTCACGTATGTGCCTCCGGATTGTCCTTCACATGTGGCTCGACTCTCATGTGTTCACGTATGTGTTCATAGATCGCCGCTTCCCTGTGGTTCGGATCCCATGTGCTTTACGTATCTGCCTATATCTTGTACTTATCATTGTGTGTTTTACGCATGTGCTTATATACTGTCATTTTCCGGTGGCTCGAATACTATGTGTTCATAGATGTGCTTATCAGTTGTCCCTCTCTTGTGGATCGAGTCCTATGTGTTTTACGGATGCATTTATCGATTGTCTTTCTGTTGTGGTTCGAGTTTTACGTGTTTTCGAATGTGCATGTTGATTGCCCGTTTTTTGTGGCTCAAGTCCTGTATGTGTTCCGTGTGTTCCTATAGGTTGCCCTTCTCCTGAGTCTCGAATCCAGTGTGTGTGTGCGTTTTCCCCGTATCCTAAGATGCTGTTCTTGTTTTTACTCGGACAGCGCCGACTCCAGAGAGAACACACCTACTCATACACAGACTTACTCATACTCATACCTACTCGTACTCATACCTTCTCATGGTCTGACTTACTCAACGCACATGATGCAGGCCTACTTATATTCATTCTTACTCATGCTGGGACTCCTTCATGCCCATAATTACTCATACCCAGACTCGTTCCCGGACCTGCTCATACACAGACTTGCGCATACTCAGACCTACACATACGCAGACCTTCTCATAGTCTGAGTTGCTCACCGCGCGGATTAAGACCTCCTCATACTCAGACCTAGTCATAGTCAGACTCGCAACGGGAGCCGCCAGGGGTGTTTTCACCGGCCCGTTCGCGGCCAGTTTGTGGGGATGTCTCAGGCGGTTTGATGGTTTTCATGCCCAACATCCTTTGCTTTCAGAGCAGATTGTGAGGATGTCTCAGGCGGGGCGCTGGTTTCAGCACCCCTGAAGGGAGCCGCCAGGGGTGTTTTCACCGGCCCGTCCGCGGCCAGTTTGTGGGGATGTCTCAGGCGGTTTGATGGTTCTCATGCCCAACATCCTGGGCTTTCAGAGCAGATTTTGAGGATGTCTCAGGCGGGGCGCTGGTTTCAGCACCCCTAAGGGGAGCCGCCAGGGAATAGGACACGGGCCCGTCCGCGGCCAGTTTGTGGGGATGTCTCAGGCGGTTTGTTCGTTTTCATGCC